CGACGAGCGCGACGACGCGGGCCCGGGCGCGCTGCTGCGCGAGCCCGTGTACAACTGGCAGGCCACCAAGCCCACGGTGCAGGAGCGCTTCGCCTTCCTCTTCAACAACGAGGTGCTGTGCGACGTGCACTTCCTGGTGGGCAAGGGGCTCAGCTCGCAGCGCGTCCCCGCGCACAGGTGGGACGCCGGGACGCGCCCGGACCCTGCAACCCCAGACCCTGCACCCCTGGACCCCGAACCCCACCCGGACCCTGCACCCCAGGAACCAGCACCCTGGAACCCTGCACCCTACCCAAGACCGTGCATCACAATCCCCGCACCCCACCCTGACCCTGCGCTCCAAACCCTGTAGCCTGCCCAGGCCCTGCACCCTCCCATCCTGTTCCCCTCCCGGATTCTGCACCTCACCTGGATCCTGCATCCTGGGAACCGACACCCAGAACCCTGCACCCAGACCTTGAACTCTACCTCGGATGTGCACCTCAGACCCTGCACCCCCACCCAGACCCTGCATCCTGGGTCCTGCAGTCAAACCTTGGACCCTGCAACCCACCCCTAATCTCAAGACACTGGACTGCACCCACATCCTTTATCCCTAGATTCTGCAACCCAGACCTTGTACCCTAGAACCCTGCACCCCAAGAACCCGCAATCCACCCAGGACCACATACCTCAGACTCTCCACGCCACCCAGACCTTGTACCACCTAAGACCCTGAATCTAGAGCTTCAGGCTTTGTACCTTGGCATTCCTGTAACTTCGCCTGAATGTGGTTCTCAGATACTCCTCCATCACAGTCCAGTCCTGGACACGGGAAACCTGCACCCTAGACTCCTGTATTGAATCCTGCGTCTTTGAACCTGGTCCTCATACCCTGCTCCTGACCCTCCATCCAGGGCCCTTCCTGGATCCTGGATCCCCCAGCCGCCCCCACCACTCCAGCTTGTCCATCCCATCCCTACCCACGACCCACCCCATCCCTTCCTCACCCTGCCATCTTCACTCCCTGTGCTCTTCCCCGGGAAACCTGCTGTGCTTCCCTGAGTAGCCCCTGGTTTTGCTCTCGCGCCTCTGGTTCTTCCTTCCAGCCCTGGGGTCCCTGCCTGTCTGAGCCGGTCCCCCAGACCTCAGCAGAGACATCTAATCCCATGGCCCCGCAGAGCTCTTGGGAGTGGTCAGGACTTCACGGTCGAGAAGTGATACGCACTGCCGTCCTGGGCACGTCTGAGTACAGACGATAGGCAGTTCGTTGGCTCGGGGAACAGGGAAGTGGGTGTTCTGACCCCGGGGAGGAGAGAAGCGATCTCTTGCTGTCAGGAGTGCTGGGGCTGGCCTGGAGGCCAGAGGACTTGAGTGTGTGGGAGCCACACCAAGGGCAACAGGGGACTGGGGTGCTGTGTCTTCCCTGGAGCCTGCAGAGCCTGGGGGGTGCTGCATCTTCCCTGGAGCCTGCAGAGACTGGGGGTGCTGTATCTTCCCTGGAGCCTGCAGAG